GCAAGAAAAGCAGAAAGAGAGTGCGAGAGAGAGAGAGATACAACAATCACCCACAGCCAATCTGACTTCAAGATGCCTTGACAACCTTACACAATCTTACGCATTAATCAGAATACAACAGCAAGCTGAAATGTTACCAGAACGGGGGTTCACCCCAACATCTTAGAAATCACGGAAACCCGAAATGTTACCACAGGCCTCCGGTAACAGACGTCACGCCCCTCCCCGGTAACATTAATTAGTGAAGGGCCATGCCAATAGCCTAGGAACCTCATGATGACCTTCATTACTAAATAACTCAGCAAGTCACTCGCTGTCTTGCCGAAGCATTGCGCCTGGAGCTAGTTATCACACGGCCCCAACGGTGGCCAAGAAAGCGACAGGTTTCGACAGGAAATAGGACAGGAAAGCAAATCAATAATCTACTTTCGGCAAGTTGTCGCCCGGCTGTTCCGGGAATCTTCCGGTGGGCTCAATCGGCGCATCTCTTGCTCCCGTCGAAATGAATCCGCTGGAAAGTGTGGTGGTTGAGGAAACTACAGTATGTCGGCAGTGCCCTGTTCCGGTCGGGCGATGTCTGGCAGGAAGGACCATCCCCGAATCCTAGGTTCGTGTGGTTGATCTTCTGTCTCCCGTGTCGGAGCGTCGGTCGGAGTCCTGCCTTGGGATCTGCGCCTTTCTGTCCTTTTGCACTTGGGTCAATGAGTTTGTTGGACGGACCCATCGACCGAAACCCCACGGCCGACCATGACAAAGGCTGACAAAGGCTGGTATCCAGATCCACATGCCCACCCGAGGATGGCACAAACCCCATGTGTTTTCTGCTTACCGGCCCTTTCCGGTGCCGAGGGTTCAGGTCCGAGGTGATATTCTTTGAGACTCTGCCTGGCTGGCTGTCAATCAGCTCCACACGCCGCAACTTGGCTCAGGAAACCGAAACTGAAGTTCAACACATGAGGGCTTTCGTTCTAAGCATTGTCTTTGGATGGGTGTCACGGTGGATACTGCAATGGCTGGGGTTTATATAGCTTGCGACCGACACCAGGGACGGCCGGGATGGCTCTGAGTCATGGACATCGACTGCACCCGGCACACCGCTTTTTTTTCACAAGGGACCGAAACGGGAAATAATGATCGGAAAGTGCCTGCGCACCACCCGCCCCCCACACCTAGGCCCAGCCACACCGGCCGCGCTGCGACCCTGTCTGCAACCGCCCGGCGACGAGGTGAATATTCTGACAACTATTCGGCAGTCGTTCGCCTTCACGCATTCAATCATCGGACAAGCTTTGGTCAAGTGTACCAAGGCGGCACAGATGAAAGCCCCTTGCTGCGATATGCTCCATGCGCAGCCTTCGTTCAACGAGGACTTCCTGGCGATGCATCATCTCCTTTTGCTCTTGCTCCTGGCCATCACATGCATCTAGTTCTAAGTGCGGTTCCATCAACTGCTGAGTCTGGGCAAGGTAACAGCTGCGCTTCTCAAGCTGTGCAAAATGGGCCGAGCGTTCAGCCAAAACCCACAATTACAAACATGACCTCACTGGCGCCTCCTCTTCTCACAAGCTATATTGCAATCTATCTCGAGCCTCCCAAGTCTCTTGAAGATGCTTGGGGACAAACTTATCGTCTATGCCGCTGCAGAGAAAAGCTGGCAGGCATCACACATCGCTCACTTCGGAATTCTGGTGCAATCGTGCTCCCAAGGTCATCAAAAGTGGTGCCTGTACTTGCTGGTGCACTCTGCATCGTCAGACTCACTCAACACCCTCACCAAGTCTCATCAAAATTCGATTGCTGGATTGCTCGAACAGTAGTGGACTAGGCTTCTCATCAATCTATTCTGGCACGCTGGTAGTAGAATTACAGCCGAGAATCCGACACCTCGTTCCTAGAATCCTAGAACCCAAGGAGCTCCCCTGTATTGAGGGCGCACGGCTTACCGCCATGCTTCGGTCAATCTTGCTTGGCAACCTCACAGACACTGCGAGCCCTCCGAGGGCGCCTGAATCGAAGGGAATTTCCGGGTCCTCTGCATCGCGGCGAACTGCAGCACAGGGGTTCAGGAGTGCCACGAACGTTTATTTCCTAAACGCGCTGCCAGCTTGTCAGTTTGCAGCACGAGCCACGCAGCTTTTCATCGCGACGCCGCATCTTTCTGTGCGACTGCAGTGCAACTTCTTTTGCGTTGCGCCGGTTTGGAGGTGGCGTGGCTTCGCGACAGCAGCCTCTTTTGCGCCGACGCTTCAGAATCAGCAAATCTGCCGTTCTGACTCAAGATTATGCATCTTTTCGTGGAGACCGCGACCTTGCCGGTTTCTTTGCCCGGCCGGGATCATCTCCGTCCTGCTCTGCACAAGGCATATCTTCACTGCAGGGTGAGGGTTTGCTGCCATTTGTTGATGCCGTCCTCTTTGCAAAGCCATGCAACTTTCATGCAGGAGCCCTTCCTGAATTGAACAGCCAGACACAGACAGCCGGTGCTCTGATATTCTGCTCTGCACAAAGCGAATGAACTTGTCAAGCCGCATGTCCCTGCCGTGCATGGCCCCCAAAGCCGCAGAGGCTTCTTCAAAGGTCGCATACTCGAGCATGCAGTAGCCTCCCCGGCAGGAAGAGGAAGCAGGAAATGTGCCCTTTTGCTGCTACTAACTTGCTTATGTTCGTGTTGGTCATCCAGTGATTTCAACCGTGGATTCCCCTGGTAGACACAAGCTTCCCCTTGCCCAGTTTCTCCTGTCTCATGCATCACTCGAAACTCTAGACGACCCGAGTGAGGCTAAGCGTAGTATGGGCTTCCGACGTGCTTGCTGGCTGAGAAGGTACTTCTGCTCCACCGTTGACACATGCTGGTACCGGCGAGGCTCGAAAGGGATCGAACCGGCACTGCAGTCGAGAAGCCTTTCGTTTCGCCCGTCATCCTGCAAAAGACTCTGATTGTTCCCCGACAAATGCAACAGCAACTTGATTCTGCAGTCCCGATCCCGGCTGGCCCTGTGTCCTGTTTAAGGGTAGATGTAGGCTGACAATGGTGCCAAAAGGTCGGAAGGCTTCCTCCAAGTCATCGTCTTCCACCTGCGACACAAGCCAGGCTCACACTAGAAGATTCGGAAACTCGTTCGGACGTGAAGTTCGCCAGAAGCGGTGGGAAGCGTTCCGGCACCTTGAAACCGAACATGAACAGTGGAGAGCGCGGACATGAAATCCGAAACCACGACCGTTCCTTTAAACTTGAAACCAGATCCTTTGCGCTGCAGAAAAGCGCTACAGCAAAACATCTACTCTGTGGTCCAAACATGTTTTCTTCGGTACACGGCCTCTGTCGCGCTAGCAGTGCTCCCATCACGGAGCGCTAAGAAGCAAAGCCAACAGTCTGGGAACCGCTGTTCCAAAAACTCACCGAGAATTTGAATTTGAGACACAACCCTTCCAGCCCGAACTTGCGCAGACCTACATGTTTCAGAGTTTTCCTTGCCTGCCTCTCCTGGAAGACCAGAGATAAACAGGCCCCAGCCCTCGCGAGATCTTGCAGGCTTCTCAGCGCCAACGGCCATGGAGAAACAAACTCAGTCAGGTATCCATGCCAGCGCCCTCCAGGGCGCATGAGCTTTTGGCGACAGCTTGAGCCGTCGCTTTGCTCGTGGGACGCCATGACTCATTGCGCTGCGAGAGATGTATCCGGACATGCCAAAGCAAGGCCCCCTGCCTGCTTTTCATCTTCATATTTGTCGATGTTCCATTGCTTCTGAGCCTGCATTCAGGTCCAGGGTAGCCTGTTTAAGACCAATGCGAGGCAAGTGCTGGTCCACGGCGAAACAAACAAAGCACACAGCAGCGCCAATTTGCTCAAGACTGCGTGGCCAAGCCATCATTAAACAAGCCGGGCGAGCTAGATGAAAGTGGTAGTTTGCTAGCCAGTGAACGTGGTCCACGATGTCCAAACCTTATACAAACATGACAAGCAAACTCATATTCAACACGATCACAGAGCAAGTCCTTTCAGACGATCGACTGCAAGCGGCAGAAAGACTTGCAACACGGCAGGGCGAGCTGATGTACCAAGGCAGCGACGCGGAAGATCAGGCATCTCCTTGGCCGAGCAACTCCGAGCGCATCTGCGCTTTCGACCGGTAGGACTGCAGCATCTCCGAAACATCTCTGCCGAGGAGCATGGTACAAGTGCTCGAAGAAATGTTGCGTGGGCTTGTGCCTCAAAATGGCACTGAATTGAACCGAGTTCCTGACGTTCCTTCTCACATCGTTTGCAGAAGCAGCTCGCATAGCTAAGCAGCTCGCACAGCTCATTTCTGACGAGATTAGTGCAGCAGAACACTCAGTGTCGCACCGGTGTTGCTTCAGGCATTCCATGAACATCTGGCAACATGCCACACATGTCTACTGGAGCAGCACTGAGGAATTCAGCAACGGGGCTGCTAAGCTGCAGGGTGGTTCAAGCTGTCCCGTCAACTCACAGAGCGAGACCTTATGCTCTGCATACTTCCAGCCACCTGCGCAACAATCCGTGGTCGAACACCCATGTCTGCAGAAATCTCTTCTGGTTGATGGGCGAATCCAACCTGTTTGAGACCCGCCATGCTCCACCACCTGGAAGAGACAACTCTCATGCGTCATCCACGTCACCAGCCGAAATAGCCCGCTGACTGGCCTCCGGGAACGAAACTGAGGGCAGGGTGTATTGTCCAACGCCTGGAGTGGTCCTGGGCTCGCAGCTATTCGAACCCAGCTCTTGAAGTTCTGCCCCAATCCGCTAGATCGGGCTGCCCATTTTCTGTGCTGGCGATGCATCAGATTGCGAGATTCTCCAAAAGTGCTGCGATGCTTCCAGAGACGGAAAAGCAGAACGTCAACGAGCTCTTGGGAAAAGATGTCGGTGGCGGTTCCAAGCTGAAGCCCGCTCTTCTTTCATGAGGATGTTTTGGCAGAGAGTTCATGTCATGAGCCGTGGCTTAGAACAGCCACCACATCATGTGGTTGGGTCAGATGACCCCGCAGCACTCGAAGCTGCGAGTAGGCGCAGATTGCAATCGCACAGCTGTGCCCTGGCAGTGATCTGTTTTCTGGATGGACTCACTATGGCTAAGATCTGGATTGGCTACTTTGCAGAACGCGTCTGCTCTCTGCCAGACTTCTTGGCCGACCCCGCTCAGAGGCTTGGGGAGGGTGCCCAGGTGCGATGCTTTGTGTCAGCACTTCACAATGGCAACACCTTGACGATACAATGAGGATTGTGTCCATAGCCTGTTGTATGTTGCCCCAAAGAAGCACTGAAGTTTCCACTGTACGAGCGCAGAAACAGCAAAACACTGACCAAGTTTGGTCAGTTGCTGTGACATGTCTTGATTCACAAGGCTTCCTCTCGAAAGCAGGGCTACAGATTTACGGAGCTTGGCTTGAAACCAATGTTTGACGCACTTAAACTGAATCGATGAAACGGTGAGCGTGGCCCCAGGCGATTTCTGTCAGCGGTGCCACTTGATCCATGTCTGATCGGGCTGCGGTCGTCCACGGACCCAAATGTTCATCGCATACTTCACCTGTCATGAGGAAGACACTTGTTCTCAAGTTGCAGGTTGAAATCTCTGCAGGTTTGTTTTGGGCAAGGGGGGCACACGGTAGGCCTCAACAGAGACTGACAAAAAACTGCGAGCCATCGTCACTTGGCCGCCTGGTTGCCATTCACAGGGAGTGCTTCGTGCAGAACTTTCTTCTCCGGCGTGCCTGCATCATTCTGGAGTATGGCTTGCTGACACATGGCAGGACAGACTGCATGCAGCATCATGGCAACATAGACACCTCCCAAACTTCTTCAAGGCTGACCCGCCTGTGGCATCCACGTTTGGCCATAAGATGGCGGATCCCTTTTGTGGAGAGACTTCCACTTTCAGCTCCGGAAAGGAAGTCTCTCCCCCGGCACCTTCATCCACAGAAGGGATCCTACCGTCGCATAAACGCTTGTAGTGCGGATGCTCTTGGTTTGGGCCTTTCGGCACCGTGTTCAGGTAAACGTGCAGTGTTGCCTCACTGCCGGGCACAGTGAAGGCTCTCCCTCTGATGATTTTTTGAGCCCCGCCCTGTTCTTCCAAGATGCCATGCGCTGACCAAACGCCCAGAGCCCCGGGTGCTTCTCACCAATCCAGTCCGTGTGCTTTCCTGACAGAATGCCAAGGCCAAGGCATTTGCGCATCATCCCGCAAGGAGCGCATGCTTTGCTCCAGGCCCAAGCTTCCGAACTTCTGCCCCGGTGTGTATCGCTCCAGCTGCAGCGGCTCAATGAAATCTTCCGGGACTTGCAGCGTTCTGGCAGCCCACTCGCGCACGGCTCTGACCTGGCAGATGCTCTGCTTCTCTCGATAGCGTCCATGTTCTTCTACTTTCTTCTCTGCGCTCTCTCTGGCTGTCAAGTCTAGCAATGTTGTTTGATGCAGGTGGCAGCAAAACCAAGCCGAGGCCATGTCAGAGCCAACCAAGAATACGCACTGCCCCCATGTGTTGCAAAAACCGCCGGAGGGCGGAAAGAGAAAATGTGCTATCATGTCAGTACTTCTTGAGCAGGCCTAGCGCCCCCTGCATGCGAGCACACTCCAGCAGATGTGTCTGGTCTAAGCGGTGCCGAAACATCTTGCTCACTTGCGAGAGAGGCTCACAAATCACAGGTGTCTCTCTCTCTCGCTCTCTCTCCTGTCCCTGAACACGTGCATGCCTACGTCCGTATCTCTACAGTTGCATGGATCAGAGCACGACGGCTACAATGGTTACAGATGGGTACATGCTGTCTACACTCGTACTGAACAGTCAAGAAGCTGACGGGTGCGACTCGTGCCAGGCAAGGAGTGCTGTCGAAGAAGTCCGCGAGGTGCGCAAAATCTCTTGACGAGTGGCCCTGTCGTTGCTGGCGATGAGCTGGCCTTGTAAAGCTACAAGACATGCTGGAAACAGCACCGCTGGGCTCACAATATCGACCCGTGGGGAGACAAGAATGCAGTAGGCTCTGCTAGTCTGCAATCCGGGCCCCGAACTCCTGCCAGTACAGTAAGTGGCAGGCTGGAGTTCATCCAGAGCTTCTGCGCGTCCGCAAGTTGCACGAGCGCATCGCAGTGCCTGGCCGGCACGGCCTGTGCAGCGAAGGTCATCCCTCATGGCAAGTGGCTTGAATAAAGGCCCTTTGTGTCTAAAGCGAGAGGAAGAGGGTAGAGAGACAGGAAAGGGCAGAGAGCAGGAGGCGAAGAAGGAAGGAACCAAGACGAAGACAAAAAGATTGGAAGGGCAAAGAACTTGAGCAGAACTTCTTGAATGGGCAAGCCTCCGGCAGGAGCAGCACTGGCAAAGGATCAAGGATCAAAGTCTTCGCATTGGACTTTGCGCTGGACAATCCTCACGCAGCCAACATTGCAAGACGCTCTATGCCATGCTCGCTCTCTATTTGTCACATCTTGTTGAGGTTGGCCACCTGTAAGTGTGTTCCAGAACTTGGATGCAACGCTCGTATCCACTTTTGGAGAGGGCTTGCCGAACCTCAGCTGGTTCAGGACGATACGCATGAACTTTTGTTGAAGGCCTTGCAGCCTCACTAGATTGCCAGCTAGAGGCAGTCTGGTACACGGCTGCTGAGCACGACTGCAAGACCAAGCAAAAGCCCGCTTCTGCTCTTCGCTTGCCTGCCTTGGATGTGACCCCAGCAACGAGGCCATGCGGCCGAAAAGAGGCGTCAGAGATAGGACAGTCTAGCGTCTCCTTGCAGAAGCCCATGGCAACCTGCAGGACGGCAAAGAGGTCCGGCTGCTGCCACTGAACCCATGCCTCACGGTACTCAAACAAATGCTAGGCAAACATCGATAGCTCTGCAGTCTGCAGCAGTTGCAAATTTGCAAATGCTGGGAGATGTCGTGCACGAACCCGCAGTCCCGGGAGCTAATTTCTCATGCGTTGATTCGTCAAGTGGCAAAGCCGAATGCAAGCTCCGCGAGTGATCGCGGATGTGTTTCGATGAGTGCGGCTTCAATAGCAGCCTCTGCCAACATTCGCCATACGGATGCCTGAAACTTTTCGGGAAGCTCGCTAAGCACAAAATAGCACGGAGAAACAGGGACTTCTTCAATTTCAGACATGTCACAGCTCTGATTTCGGAATATGCCATGGACATCCTGAGCTTAGGCTGTGAAAGCCCGCGTTTGTGAACTTGGGATTGCCTCAAAAAGTGCACTAGCAGCAGGATTAGCTGCAAACAGAACAGGACCGTCATTTAACTTCGGCCAAGCCCGACTGTTGCTCTGCAGTGTAAGAGCCAAGTCGCACTAAGAAGCCAAGCTCGGCACCGGAAAGCTCCGGGAGGATATCTTTCAAGGCTTGAAGTAGCAGCGAGCCCAGCCACTTGTCCCTCGAGTTAGGCCCAAAATGATTCAGAATGGTGACCATGCTCGTCCTTGGGATCGGAGACCATCGGAAGGAAGTAAGAAGAAACTCTGAACCCTAGGCGTCTACAGTACCGAACTGCAGGCTTGTTGCTCATTGCGGCGCTGCGACGCCATGGTCAGCT